CGCGTCCACCATAGACTTTGCATGTAAACCTGCTGCTCCTGACGCTGAAATCGCGTTTGGTGTGAACGCACCATTACACTGTCAAACTTGTTTTTAGGGGTTGAAATTGGGGTGGGACATAGTTCGAGGTGGGGGGCGGGGTGCGCTTCAACTAGCCTAGGGCACCAAAATGGCTAGAGCCAGCACTGCAGGTACTAGTAGTTAGCTTAGTTGTTGTCAACCCTTTGAATGTGAAGATTTATGCTTTTTTACATATTTGTTAATGTAGACAAAACACTAAAGGGCCACAAGTTCTTTTTCATGTGAAAATTAGACTGAAATCATACTTAAATATTCCCTAACCATTAATACATGTCTAACAAATGGTTTGAAAGTACATTTATAAGGATTTACATACATATACACACAGTATATAGAACAGTTAATTTATGAGTTATTAAGCATGAATAAACTGAATATGTTGTTTTGGAAGTAAATAGCCTTTATGCGTAAAACATTTGTAAATGTGTCAATTCATAGCTTATTAAATATGAATCATCCTTAATTAACGATGTTTTCAAGGTTAACTAACCACTTATCAACAATTTAGTGATGCTTTAGTGTGAAATCTGTGCTCTGACTTTTAACATGGCTCTCAGTAGCTTGGTGGTCAGTGCCACGGTCTCGTAATCCTGAGGCTACAAGTTCAAGCCCAGGTTGCATCAGGAAGAGGAGCATCTTAATGGTCAAGCAAATGTCAAATCTTTCATGCGAGTTCACTCTCTATGACGATCAGCTGTAAGAAAAACAACATAAAATATCTGCACATTTCTCCATCCTCTTTGCTCCGAGGCCGATGYCACGGCTGAGAAGGTCCTTACTGATAACGCTTCGACAGGACTTCTCTTCAAAATTACCAGACTATCCCTTTACCTTCATGAAATTTCACACTCAGTGTCTTTGCGGCTTTATGTTCATTATCTGCATCCTGGTGTTTTGCAGGGATCTGTGTGACGGCATGGTGATTCTGCAGCTCTTAGAAAAAGTCAAAGTGCCTGTAAACTGGAAGAAAGTCAACAACCCACCTTTTTCTTTCCTGGGAGGAAACATGAAGAAGGTGCTACCTGTGAACTCACAATAGAAAAGCATTTCTTCTCTGCATATGTTGGTGTTATAGATCTATCTTGTAAATAAGACTGTCTCAGTCTAAATAAAAGTAAATAAATTAAATCTGAGGGGTTTTACGCTGTTGTACTTTCAGCTGGAGAACTGTAACTATGCTGTGAAGCTGAGCAGAGATGTCGCAAACTTCTCTCTGGTTGGAGTTGGAGGAGAGAACCTGAATGAAGGGAGTCAGACTCACACACTGGCTCTGGTCTGGCAGCTGATGCGGAAGTATGAAATCCATCCACAACTCTGAAACTTAATGTACTGTTGTTTAATTTGTTTATTTATTGATATGTCGAAAAGTCAGTTCTACAGATATTGAGGTAACAATTGGGTGTGACAGTAGCTGAGAATCCTCCTCAACATGTACTTCAAAAGTCCACAGAGTTTGACCACAATGGCTCAAACTCGTAAAATGATCCTTGCCTACAGCTCTGACTTAAAGGAACGCGGCACCTTTATTTATTTATTTATTTATTTATTTACTGAGTGGGACTTGAACTGTAAGATCTCTTTTGTTGTTTCAGTTTTTTATTTTTCAGCCTCGGTTATCTGCTTGGTTTTCTTTCAGGTACTCAGTTCTGGTTCTGTCAGATTTGGGCGATGGAGAGAAAGTTGCAGACAAGTTCATCCTGGACTGGGTCAACTCAACTCTGAAGCAGAAACGAAAGGACACACAGATCAGCAACTTCAAGGTGTGTCTGTGTGTAACAGCAGGTTGTAGTTGAGCAAAACTTAAAGATTTATGTTCTGTAGTATGCATGAAGTGCAGACTATTGTGATCCTATTTGTTCCATGCCATGTTCTGTTGAAACCTAGCCTAGCCATTGCCTTCCTGCTCAGTTCGACTTTAATCTCCCTTCAAAGCAAAGAACAAGGGGCTGCTTTTTACCAGGTTAACTGGAACCACTAAACATCTCATTTTTAGGAGCATTCAGGAGAAGCTTGCTATGACTGTTGGTGTTTTGTACCTTTCATGGCTTTTGAAATATTAAGCTTCATTTGAGCTTCATTGAAATACATTAGAACAGTGGTTCCCAAAGCTGGGTTCGAGACCCACAGTTGGGTCCTGAAACATCGGAGCCCTGAAACTATTTTCTGAATTAATTACTCTAAAAAAGGACAACTAACAATGTTTTTTGCTTTGTTGTTACAAAATAATAAGATTAGTGCACTTAGAATGGACAAAAATAATAAGTAATGCGACTATGCTCTTGTTTATTTGACATTAAAACAATGTTTATCAACCGACAATAGCTGGGGGCACAGGTCTCTGCTGATGGTATTTTGTGGGTCAAAAACTTAAAGGTTTGGGAACCGCTGCATTAGAAGAATAGTTTGGATTTGGTCCAATGCTGCCCTCTTCTGACAACGTTTTAACATTATGATGGATACATCTGCAGGTGTAAGAGACTCTATTAGGCAGCCTACATATCCGACTATCACAAAACTATAAGTTCTTCCTTCCAGCATAATAAGAGTTAAACAAACAAGTTTGTTTTTTCGTAAATGAGCCTGCACTGAGTCAAACGAAGTTTGCAGTCTCAAAGTTTAACTTTATAGAACACAGAGGTTTATCTCAGGCATACATTTAAATACTATACCATAATAAAGTATCTATGTCAACTTTAGCTGTTATTAAAATGCTGTTTTTATGTTTAAATAGAAAATAAATTTATCTTCTCATCACATCCTCTTCTAAATGCCTTGAAATTGGCCTCCGTCTCTTTAAGAACCACCTTCCGCTTCCGTTTTGCCCATCTCGGTGCGGGGTGGGGGTTGGGGGGCTGCCATGATGCAGTTTACTTGGCATCTGAAAATGCATTTCCTCAAAGGTATTTTTAATCTGAAAAGAGCTTCACTAAGTGAGAAGTAATGTTGAGAGCTCAGCAGACAGTTAGGTTTCACTTTCACTTTCACCCGAGAGCCCAAATACCCCCGGCTGCAGAC